GGCARTGTTTTGTAAGCAAGGTCTCAGTTCTATTCTCCTTCTCTTATTTTCCTCTCTGAAAGTTGTTTCCTGTTGACAGGAGGAAGGTGGGCTTCCAGGCAGGCCTTCAAAGCCACAGCAGCTTGTCCCCAGCAAGTGCTATCACTTCTTCCTCTTTCAAACTTTCTGTACCAGCTCCTTTCTGGTAGTCTCAGGTTTGGGGAACTGAAGACAAGTGGCCACCCACCCATATCTATTGCAGGCTGAGTCCTGGGGCACAGCTCCTTTGGAATGGGTTGTGGGACGATGCCCACGRAGGGGCATTTACACTCAGGACGCACTTGGAATAGGTGGTTTGCCTTTCCCAAACCTTGAAGAAAAAATCAATTTTGGTAAATAACCCAAAAAGGTAAAACATCACAGTTGGCTCATTTATGTGCAGAGTGGTCCCTGCAAAGTGAAAATGAGCACAGATAAGAAGTCCAGGGATGGGAGATGCTGTCTTAGTCCTGCTGTGTTTTAGTTGTGCTATGTAAATAGACCCCGTGATGTTTCCTGGTAAATAAAATGGAATGGTTAATAATAAACACCCTGCTTACCTCACAGGACTGTTGGGAGGAAGAAGTAAGGAAGGCAAGTGTGAGGGAGTGTTTTATAGCAATGGCGAAATAGAAGTCTGTTCCCTCCATTGAAATTTAAGAGCTCTCTGATAAATTTGACATTCCCATTTTAGAATCCTGCTCATTGGTCCTTACATCCAATTAAGCATTTTAAATAATTTCCCTTTTGGTCCCAAGTTCTTATTTGTTGCTTTACCTTCTTGTGAAATAGGTCACTTCATTGTCACCATCCTGAAGGGGAAAGAAAGCAAGCAGAGCTGGAATCATCCCAAGGGGGTTGTGCTCTGCCTGTGCAGTCCACCCCGTCATCCTGGCTGGTCACTTAGGACATACTTCACTGCTTATCCTGGTTTTCGGCTCCTGCCCTGAACCATCGCATCTGTCCACTCTTCTCCATTTAGATGGTGCCTTTTGACCGCTCCCAGACTCTTCACAACTTTATCACTCCTTGGATTGGAATCCCTTTTATCCAGGAGATATCTCTGGCAAACATCTGCTCATTTTCAACCCAATTTAATCATTATCTCCTCTGCAAAGCCTGTCTCAATTCCCTCTTGCAAAAGTATAGATACCATGCTTGTGTCTTGGAAACACCATATGCATTATTTTTACTTCTTAACAGCATGCTGTGTGATGTTTACTTACCTGTCTGAGCTCCGGGGCAGCATGTTTTTGTCCTGTGCAGGTGGAATTTCCAGCCACGGTGGCATAAGCCAGGTGTTTCATACATATTTGTAGGTTATTGTCAACTCTTGAATAAAGCTACAGTATTTTGCTATGAATATTTTGAATGATGAAAATGAAATATTAAAGAATAATCTGCCAGTTATTTTTCAGAAGGTAATGGATGTTGATTTCATTTATGTACTAGGAAATTTTAGTTAGAAGCTGTTACATACAACAAAAAGATTGATATCACAGGATGAGATGGTTAAAATATTGGAAACTGTCTGCCTTTACCAATGACAGTGGTTCTTTCTTGGAACCTTGGTGGCACAGCATATTAACTTTGGGCATCTTGATTCCTCAGTTGAGTTTTTGTTTAAACATACGTGGTTTTATAAGATCATCCTCTTTCCCAGAGTTACCATGGCTACTGTAAAGTTTTCATCCTATCTGCACCATTTCAAGGGTTCTTCCTGAAGCCAGTTGTTCTTCTAGCACTAGTAGACCATCTTCCATAATAGACCATGCACATATCCCTGATCACAAACCCCTAGGTAAACTGTTTAATTGGCAGCAACCTTTCCCCATGCCACTATCCAATCCCCCATAAACCAACAATTCACCAAGAAACAGAGCATATTTTCTTATTTTTCTGAAATGGACAATATATATTTCCTCCTTTTTCAAAGCCACCATTCTAGAAAATCTCCAATGGAACTTAGATGCTTATTTTAATATACTTAGCCCAGGTTGTTGGCATTTTTCATCCATAAAGTATTTAAGCTTTGATCAAGAATCCTATAGTGCGTACTGCAAATGTGTTTTGTTCTCTTGATGGAGTTAATTGTTTAAAAAATAGAAATGTTAGTTATAAATATTACATGCATGCAATGAAAAAAAAAAGTCTTGAGACTTTACGACTTTTACATTTGATGTTTTCCTTTTGGAAATTTCTCCAACACAGACTATATGTGGATGTTGCTTTATAGCAAATATTTCCAATAGTTTATCACCTTAATAAAATAAACAAACGAACAAACAACAAACTATGCTTCCTTAGATCAGGACCAAGTGAAAATGGGGGCAGGAGACAGACTTGTATGTATCAGGGCAGGCACACAGTCCAGTTTCTTGTTGATCTTCTGTACTTTGTCTTTTTTTTTTTCCTCCCCCATTTTCCTCTACTCTATAGATCTCCCTTTGATTTTCATGAGACCCCTCACCTTTCATTTCCCTTTTCCTTTTTTACTTCCACCTATGACAGAAAACATATAACCCTTGACTTTCTGAGTTTAGCTTATTTCACTTAACATAATGTTTTCAAGTTTTCTCCATTTTCCTGCAAGTGCCAAAATGTCATTTTTCTGGKTTTTTTTATTGGTTGTTCAAAACATTACAAAGCTCTTGACATATCATATTTCATACATTAGATTCAAGTGGGTTATGAACTCCCATTTGTACTTTGTCTCAAAATGGCATTTCCAGTGGTGCTTGAACATTGCAATTCTGAAATCCATTTTGAAGAGTGGTATTAAAGAGAAGTTTATTAAGAGAATAAATTGCCAGTTACTAAAGTTTAGCCTCTTTGTACAGGGTCCAACATTAGATAGAGAAAGAGCACAAATGGGGAGCAGTTAAGCCTTTATTGAATATCTGTTATAAGCAGTTGTAGTCCAAATGTGTGTCCACATTTTACCATCTGTGGAAGTGCAAGATGTAAACACAACCCAGTACTTCATCGTGATCACTCTAATATGGTAGCATTTGGGATGTTTGTAAACATTGCAGAAACAGATTTAAGAGCCAGAACTCATTTTTGGAAACTTGTGAATCATGCACGTGAATTCCAGATTTGTTACTCTGCAGCAGAGGCACACGGAGAACAAATTTTCAAAGATATTGCRTGACATGGGGCGTGCCTACATTTTGTGGGGCACATTCTCTGGGACATGTGGGAATGCAACAGAAATAAGCTCTCAAGGACCTTACCATCTAAGCAGGGAAAGATGTCTTTTTCAGTCTTCTTGCAGCACCTTAATATGTCTGTATATCCACACTTATAAGATCAATAATGCTTGGTAGAATGAGTATTATTTTCCTATTTAAAAAAGATCTTATGTGTAATTAATTAAAACAAAATAAAAAAAAGATCTTTATAGATTTTACCAAAAATTGTGTGTATATATACACATATATACATGCACATATACGTATTTTATATATGCAAGAAATTTCAGAGAGTATTGCCAGTGGTTTATCTCCCCCAACAACCCACTTTGAAATTCCAGAGAAGCACTGTCACTCAGATAATTTTGAGAAATTAATGATTCTCTTATGAAACACATATGTCACCTAAATGGATAGCAACATGGAAGACTGAGGTTTGTAGGCACTCAAAAGAAATGCAGGCTGTTAGAGTTCCAACCCACTCCAGCCATGCCACACATTTAATATTGAGTTTTTGCCCCACCTGCCAATCCACTCTACACTTTACTTTGCTCATACTCAGAATAACATTACTCCCAAGAGAGTAGTGATGGGCTCATGGAAGGCTCTTAAAAAAAAAAAAAAAAAAAAAAAGTTTCCCTTGCCTCTTGCAGAGTAAATACATGAAAGAAGGAACAAATGAAAGAGGTGTTATCTGCCCTGGCTTTGCTCTTGACAGGCTCTAGTGAAGCTCCTCAGCTTCTAGACAGAAGCTTTAGTTTGCTAATTCAGGAGCTCAAGTTTTAGAAGGCCAGAGTTATCCTTCCCACCCTCCTGCATCATTGCTAGTCCACACGTTGAACTTTGGGTGTTCCACCCCAGGCACTGATCAGCTGCAGTTTATCTGAGTCAAACAATACTTATTCTTGTTTTGGGTCACTAAAGCTAATGGGATTATCCTGCTCCTRTAATCCTGTAGAATTCCCACTCTACACCTCAGAAACAAAGATTCCTCCTGCCCAGTGCTCTCCTGTCCCAAACCTTCAGAGTTGCAGGCCTGCTCCTCTCAGAGCATCTGAGATCATCAGGGGAAAGGTCAAAGACAAAGTCAAATACAAATCCAGTAACTTAAACTTAGATGACTGGTTGACAGCACACCTGGTCTGTGGGAAGGATGTTGTGAATTTAACAAAATCTGTATTAGATTCTGAGACATTTTATCTTCTTTGCTGTTATGGGAAAAATAAATGGAAAACAAACTGAATAGAATTAACCCAAAGTCAAAATGACTTTTCATTTAAAGAAAATATATAAAAGGATATATTAAGTATATATATATACATAAATATATAAAGTATATATTACTACATAAAAGTATGTATTAAGCCAGGTGTGAAGGTACACACCTGTAATTCTAGCAACTTTGGAGGACTGAAAGTTTAAGGCCAACACCCCTGGGTTCTATCCCCAGTACTGCAAAAACAAAACAAAACTATATATCAAATATTGAAGCACATAACGCATAAATATCTCAGATTTTTTTAGTAATCCAAATTATGTAACTGTGAGGTTAGAATAAGTAACACTCTCCCTCTGGATTATTCTAAATTGCTTTTTCACTTTATTTGAAGATTATTCTCTTGTTTTCAGTTGGCACAGTCTTACCCACCATTTAAAAGTGTTGTTTCTTTTTCTATACTTTAAATATTCTCACATAATTGACAATAAAATCTCTTATGAAATGTTTCTCCTGCAAAATTCATTCTTTAATTGAGTCTTAACAAAATAATGTGTTATGCTACATTGCAGCCTCACCGTCAGGAATGAAGAAAGAGGGGAGACGGCAGGAAGACCCACACACACCACAAAAATGGAGAGCATCCAGGTTCTAGAGGAGTGGTGAGTGTGAGGCACTGTTTTCTGTGCTGTTAACGTCTACTGCGTGCCTAAGCAGTGTGTCTTGCTTCAGGGTGATCTTTATGACTTTGTGAAGTGAATGCTAACATAGTCCATTGAGATCTTGTTTTGTGACTGCAATTGCTTTTCGTCAGTTTTTCTATTAGCTTTGTTATCAGCCAGAACATCAGCTACTTTTGTCTTTTCTCTTGAAAAAGGTAGAGATTATTGCATGAATTAGCCTCCCAAACTGCCTATTTAACTCCCATTTTCTGAGAGTATTTTTAAAGTTGTTTTCTTTATGAGCAAAGACTGTAAACACACACACACACACTCTCACACACACAAAGATGTTGGATTACCAACATCTTTGGTCAATTGGGAAGGATACCCAGTTGGCTTCTGGTTCTGTTTCCATAAACAGACTCTGACAAGTTTATCCAAAATGAGAAATTGAACTGCAATGTCTAGGGCATAAAAATCAAAATGCAAGTTGACTCTTCAYGTAAGTGTTTTCTTTTTTCTTTTATGAGGAGTTTTTCATAATTATGCTTCACTGTAATTTAAAACTTTTAAAAACTTAATATTTCTAAGCCAAGGAGAAAGTTCAGACATTATGGAATAGTAACAGATTTATTTTAAATACCTGGTCAGAAAGGTTAAGAAAAATAAAATATAGATACCTCTTTGACCAAATGCAGATGGAACAATGAATGATGGTTTCTTCATAGTCATGAAAAAATCTGCACATAGGTATCTAAAACTCCTCAATGCCTCCTAAAATCCCTCTGGTTTACAATGGCATTTTAGATAAACATAACAAGTGCACACTATATAATCTTATTTGAGATCCAGAGACTAGTGAATAAATGGCAGATAGAGAAAAAAAAATCCTTCCTTATAGCTAAAAATTCTATATTATGGGGTCAAGAAAAAAATCTATTTTATGCTTCAGAGTACCATCCATTCACAACCTATTGTCAGGGTTTAAACATTTTCAAGCTTCATTAGGAATTTATTTATTTTTAAATATTTATTTTTTAGGTGTAGATGGACACAACACAATGTACTGAGGATCCAACCCGGGTCCCGCCCTTGCTAGGCAAGCGCTCTACCGGCTGAGTCACAATCCCCTCCCCTTCATTAGGAATTTATCATGACCATTTTTATATAGTGTATAGGTCCTTATTATTTCATCACCTGACTCCTTTCCTGGCTTATTGTGCCTACCTGATTGTTGGTCAGGACCCAGAGAACACTCATCTGGACCTGGCAGGTTATTTGCCAGATTAGACTGAACTGCATGTCAAAATACTGACCACTAGATGGCAGCAATTGAGTAGACTTTCTCTCCTCCCCTCCTTCACTCAAAGTCTAGTGTTCCCAGGTCCAGGCTGCTTTTGGTAATGGTCCMATTCTGTCTCTGCAGCCAGAATCCCACTGCAGATGAAGTCTTGTCCTGGTCTCAAAATTTCGACAAGATGATGAAGGCCCCTGCAGGAAGGAACCTGTTCAGAGAGTTCCTGCGAACAGAATACAGTGAAGAGAATTTACTTTTCTGGCTCGCCTGTGAAGACTTAAAGAAAGAGCAGAACAAAAATGTAATTGAAGAAAAGGCCAGAATGATATATGAAGATTACATTTCCATACTATCGCCAAAAGAGGTAAAAATCTGGAAAACACTGAGGTGGGCTCTCTAAGACCAAGGAGAGCCTTAAAGGAACCACAATCCAATCCAAATTGGGTAGTGCATGCCATGTGGACAGGTCAGAAGACTTCTCTGAGCAGATTACTGAACTTCCAAACCATGAATATCCCTGTTTGAAGGTCAGGTTCCTCCACTATTCTTTGATCACTTATCTCTGGCTGAACCGTGTGTGGTAGTCTACTTGCTTCTCAGAACTAACACCTGTTTAAGCAACTTGCTGTGGCTTAAAGTAAAATGGAAAAGGAGCATTTACCTCAGGGTGATGCTTCTCAAAACATCCTCCCTAGGTCACTCCAATGAAAGCAGGTCTAAAAAGCAAATCCTTGAGGCCTACCCATGACTATGCTAGATCTGAAGTTTTGGAAACAGAGCTTAGGAATCTGCACTTTGTTTTTATACATGTACTAGTTTGAAAACTTCTGGCATAAGGGCTCAAAAAAAAAAAAAAAAAAACCAGTAACATATTTGTTGATGCTTATGATTGGATTTTTCAGCACTGAAAATGGGCTCTTATCACCATTGATATTTTCAGGGCAAGGGTGGGAAATAGAAATTATCTGACTTATTCTATTCTGTTACAGAAAATGCAAGCTTGTTTTCCCATTGCCAGAATATACCTAATCAATAAGAAACACCTCCAGCCATCAAATAGCATGCTCCTCTTAACTTTTAAAAAATTAATTTAATTTTGTGCATGAGAAATGCTGCAGCTGACAAAGTTAGAAGCCCTGGGATAACAGTGTGGCCAGCCGCCCCCTGGGTGTCAGAGCTTCAGRGTTGCTTTCATGCCCTGAGAGAACTGTGGGGAGGCTGTCTTTGTCCTTACCCTCCGTTGCCTTTTCTGTCTATACTACACTACTGTGATTTTACCTGCGCTGTTAGATATCTGGTCCTGGTGCTTTCTGTTCCCTTTGGCCTGCACACTGCCCTCTTGTGCCCTAGGACTGGGCTGTTGTCATCAGTGTTTCATTGAGTGCTAGAGATGGCCCAGTCCTGCTTTTTGGTTTTTTTTTTTTTAATTGTTGATGGATTATGTTATTTATTTATTTATATAAACTTCTGAGAATTGAACCCAGTGTCTCCCACAAGCTAGGTAAGTGCTCCAGCACTGAGCCACAACCCCAGCCCCCAAATCCTGCTTTGAGACCTGAAAAATGCATTTTCATCTACTTTACCAATCTCTAAGTTGGAAATGCTACATAAACTATTTCACTTCCAATAAAGTGTACTTAAATTGTTTAATTATTTTTATCTGTTAGGTTAAAGTGTCACTGGAATTCCAGATACTCCAGCAGTATTCTCTCTACAAAATGAGAAAACTTCCTAAATTGGAGGCACAAAAGATTGATTCATTTTTCATTTCCTGCATTAATATAGAAATAGTCATAGAAACTAAGTAGGAAACTTTTACATTTATTACTGATACATTTATTACTGAAATCACTTTGTATTTCTAACAGTAGAATAATTCTACATCCAAAAAAAATACATTCTTCAGTTCTCTGTTGTGTCTAGAACCTCAGGATCTAATCAACTCTTCTTGAATCTTATTAGCATAATGATTTTATTCTCATTTGTATTTCAAAGTTGCATTATACAGCAAATAAGCCATATGATCCAGTTGTGCCCCATTTGTGTCCTTGCCTATAGTTACACAAAATTACAGAGTCTCTGGGAAGATTATCTAGCCCATTTCTCTCCCCAGAGTATGTGACRTGTGTCGTCTTAAAAGTGATAGTTGTCTGGATTACCTAGGTCAGTACTTTGTAYTACATATGGTTTGCTTTAAAAATTATTCCACTTTTTAAAAATTGTTAGGAAAAAAAAAATGTGTTCTCCATATTTAGTCCTTACCATTTATTTATTTCTATGATCCCCATGTCCTGGCCTTTAGTTTTTATGTGGGGCACTTGTACTGTTCTCACAGCTCCTCCTTCTCAAATGTCCTGGTTGATGGAGCTTTGTAAAATACTTGATTTTCACAAAATTACTTCTTCTTTGTGATGTGCTGAGAGTTACCAGAGATACTGACTATTGAAATATAAACTTAGGTTTTCACGTTTTTTTGCTAAAATAATGAAGTTATGTTTTGGCCTAATTTCTTTATTTTGAACATGAATTTCACCACAAAGTCTTTAAGATAGTGTTTCCTAATCAGGAACATGACCTTTTTAACKTTTCACAAAGACTAATATATAATTTAATAGCCATATTTATTTTTTCCATTTTTCCTAACACCCACATTTGATCCATTACCTACCCTAAATCTCAAAATATCATATAATGGAGAGCGAAAAGAGAAAGAGTTAGAATTCACATTTTTATCATGTTGCTACTTATGTGCTGACTTGTGAATAAATTATAAATAACTTTTGATATAGACTCTAAGTTACACAACTGTATGAAGTGCCTTTGTTTAGTTACCTGGTTTWTCTCTTCTCAAGTTAGTAGTAATTATATTTGATTATTGTTTACTCTCAAAAACCAAGTAAAATGAAGGTAGGTCTTTTCATTTATACAAAATAATTATTGAAAAGCTGTATTTTAAGCCAAGGAATGGATATATTTACTCTTGAGCCATGTTCAATGATTTGATTMACAAAACATCATGGAAATTAGAGCCCTTTCCAATCTATTTTAGCTTGGTGATGACCCTGTGCAAACTTTTCTCAGTCTCTAATCAGGCACCACGCATTACTGACAACATTGCATTATTGTTCTTCAAATGTTGTTTTCCTTGGTAAGAACACATGTCACATCCAGGAGATCCCTGATTATATAGTAGTCAGAGCATGGGATGAATGTCCAGGTGCATAGGATTCAAGTCCTGGCTCTGAAACATCCTAATTGTGTGACTTGGATAAATCACTTAACCTTTTTTGAGCCTCATTATTCAGTTCATTTATTTACAAGAGTAACCATAAAAATGGGCACAGAGACTAACCATAACCTCCCCCACCAAATGACAGAGCTAATCAATATGGTCCTCCTACTCAGATTGAACTTCGAATCTTAGCACAGCTTTTAAGACAGCCACTACATGCTGGGGGTGGTAAGGCATGCCTACCACATCCCAGTGGCTTGGAAGGCTCAGGCAAGAGGATCTCAAGTTCACAGTCAGCCTCAGCAACTTAGCAAGTCCCTAAACAACATAACAAGACCCTGTCTCAAAATAAAAGAACAATAATAATTAAAAGGGCTGGGGATGTGTCTCAGTAGTTAGGTGCCCCTGGGTTCAATACCTACAACCAAAAATCAAAATAAAACATAGGCACTACAAACTTGATTTCTTACATGGGAACAAAATGATCTGGCCTTACTTACTCAGATATTTTTTAAAAACATGAAAATTTGAATCATTTATAAAATGATAATAACTAAGTTGTGAAGCATTTATTATTGACTAGACTACATTTTCTTCACTCAAGTTTATTTTATCTTAATTTGAGTTATGTTTCATTTTGTTATATGTATAGAAAGCCTACATTTATAGTTATTTATACATGTAAGTATATACATGTGTGTGTATATATATATGACTTTTTTCCTTAATGAAACTATTGAGGCCAAYATGGTGGAAATTTCTTCAAATTGTTTCAAGACCAGGTTTTATGCATTTTTAATAATTGGAGTCCCAWGAGCCAGGTTCTGGACTGGGTGTTGGGTATATGATGGTGAACAAGACAGACACTGGCCTATCCATTATGGAGTTCACATTCTATGAAGACAGAAAACACACGTTGGAAATAAGTAACTAAAAGTTGTGGTCAACGTTGGAGTGGGCAAGGCCGAAGGATAGAGTCTAGAAAGGGGTGTTCAGAAAAGAAACTGAGAAGGTAAAACTCCAGTTGACACAAAAGCAGAGACACTGACTGGGTTTGATCAAAACGTTGTCCTCATAGTTATGATAAATTATTACATCTCCTCTTATCTCTCCACATTGGGCTCAAAGTTCACTGTTGATAAGAGGGTCTCACACACATTTTCACAATCTACATCTCACCAAGTCCTTCAGCCAGGAGAAGAGAGGCCAACACTTCACAGCAGAGGAAGCTGGTCCTCGGAGAGGAAAAGTGGATGTCAGGAGACATTGCAGTTGAATCTGGTGGCTATAGAACACAAGCCCAGGAACCTGTAACTCCAACTGAGGAGCTCTTCCTACTGAAGCATGTGGAGTCCTTCCTCCATTGTGCAGGATCTTCTTCATGACTGACATCTATAAACCCAACTTTATAAACCCAACTTTAGAACTTTAGATAAAAAAAAGATAAAAATGAGAAACCACCACCCTACCACATGCTGGAACTCTCAAAACAAGCAAGATATGCTATCTCATCTGAGTCCACCCAAGAATACAATCACTTCATTAATCTTACTAATAATCTTTGCCTACTTGCAAGCAAACTGTATTCGTAGTCCTATCAACAGTCTCCTAGTGTATTTCCAGAGACTGCATGTGCAAAGTAAAGCTGTTTCATAGAATGCTCCAATAGATGCAATCATATCATCCATCTTATTTGTAATTTATAATTATTTTCAGTAGAAATAACAAGCATAAAATAATACATAAGTAATGTGCACATGCTCAAGATTTATTAAAATTGATAGGAGAATCAGATATCTTTGGTTCTAAAACTAATGTGGGGAAAATAAATTTAGTTAAAATTAAGAAAAAATCTCCAGCGGCAAAAGTTCTAACTGGTGAAATCTGATAGGTGCTTATAAATGAAAAAACAAAATTATTAATCAGAATTTGACTTGGAAAAGAATCCTAAATAAAACAATTTCTTAAAAATAAGATGGAAAATGGGAGGAAGTATTTAATCAGGTTATATTAAAAAATTATTCAGAAAATCAACATAAAGAAAGTCTTATGGGAAAAAAAAAGATTTTCAGTGAAAATTATTTTCACTACAATTCTGACAACCATATCCATGGGATCAAAATTTTCATTATATCTTAAGGACTAGAACAAAAACAAAAAAACAACAAAATAAAGGTAAGATCAGAATGTGTGCTCCCTCCCAGAAGTATTCACCTAGCACAGTAATCCCCTTCAATGCATAGGAAATCTAGTAAGTTTGACCAGAGTACACCAATGTTTAGCCCAGATCTTCCCAAACCACATTATCAAGATTTCTGTCTTCATTCCCCCCACTTTACCTGTATACTCTTGTGAAACCTAAGCACTCATTGAATTTTCCTCTCCAGTAGTGTATGAAATGGCCACGGGACAGTTTCCTATGTTTGCTATGCTTCCAAGCCATTCTCATTTCTTCTTCCAGCCTCCTCCCTGTGGGATTGAGTATTTCCAAGTCCACAGAGGCTGCCATAAAATCACTTCCATCTTTGTGAAGCTGCAGTTGCCACCTCCCTAAACTGACAGTGGTCAGCACTGTTGAAACCAGCAGCTAAATGCTGCCAATGAAATGCTCCCAAATTCTCAGGAGTCAGAGAGATCTCATGCGTCAGGTCTCCTGGTAGCTGTATTTGTATGTAAACTGTTACTGCTGTAATACAGACAGAGAAAAAAGACAACGTCCCTTGCCTAAAGATAGCTCTTGTACTGCTCAACTTTATCTCTCCTTGGGWTAAGATTTTCCCAGGAACTCCTCAGCCCCGAATGATGAGGTGGAGCCCAGTTAAGATGGCTTATAAGCCATCTAGAGATGCCTAATCCTAGGGTGATTGTGGCCCAGGCCCAAGCCTGGATCCACCCCATTGCCTTGTATTATAGATGATCCTCATTCTGAAGCACAAGACACCACAAGATGAGACTGTAGATTGTTATTCCCATGGGCTTAAACTTGTTATTGACTTCTCTACACTTCTTTTGACTGACAACCTTTCAAACAAACAAGATATTAAGGTAAATGTTTTATTTTTCAAATAGAAATAACAAATGCGCTTTTGTTACAGATTGGCAAATGTTAAGCTGTACTACTTTATGCTATTTTACTAGTTTTTAATTTGCAAAGAAAATGAATGACTCAAAACAAGTAATAATTAAGGTTACTTTATTTCTCTGTCTTCAGATAACTTTAAGCTATTGATTCTAGCTACTGATAAGGGACTATTATATAAACTTAATGATGATATTATTTATGAAGTAAATGATCCTATTTTTTTTTCTATTTCACTAATCTAAAATGTTCTTCYCCATTGAAACAGAAAGTTATCTCAAGTTTAAAAATAAAACCACCATTTACAAAAACAGTGGCATGTGTTTGGTAAGACTTCACCCTACCAGAACAACCCATTTCAAAATAAGATGAATCAGTTTAAACTCTAATGTCAATATTGTGCCACTGAGTAGAAATGCAAAAGATACCTTTAGATGAAATGAGAAAATGGTGTGTGGGGGGGAATTATCTATTTTTATGGTTTGGTAATTGATGATGACTTCGAATGCTACAGAAATGAAAAACTAAATGATACATAACATTATTTTTTAAGGAATTTCCTACAAAGAAAAATACACAGTTCAGCCAGAAACTTATAATTTTTCTATCTATAAATTGGTCTAACTAAACCACCGAAATTTAGTCTGGATCACCCTTTCCTGACAAACCTAGCAGCCATCCCTGGAGTGTATCAGTCAACCCAATTCCACATTATCTGTAGAGCTCAGGAATCTGGGAACACTCAATATGAGTGGCTTCATCCAGAGACTGTCTTGGGCCCCAGACAGTGATGGGAAAAGAAACCAGAACCAAAGAAACTGTTGATAAATGCTTATAACAGGCTGTGTAGGTATAAATATGTATGTTGTGTATATTATTAGACAAGTAAACATGGGTCACAATTTCCTATTCCTTGCTCAGTAGTAAAGTTGAAGAAATCAGTCAGGGCTCTTAGAGTGTTTCTTAAACAAGGAATTCAAGGCAGAGCACCAATCCTGTTCCCCAAGCATGCMCTCATTATTACTTATTTTCCACTCTTCCCTTCCCAGTGTGTCCTTACCTGTTCCAGGTGGATTAGCCTGGAATGGGAGGAGGGTGCTATATCACAACAGAATATCATTTCTATGCATTTTTCTTTTTGTTTGGGGGGGGGTACCAGGGATTGAAGTACATCCCCAGCCCTATTTTGATTTTTATTTAGAGACATGGTCTCACTGAGTTGCTTAGTGCCTTGCGGTTGCTGAGGCTGGCTTTGAACTTGAAATCCTCCTATCTCAGCCTCCAAGATGCTGGGATTACAGGCATGTGCTACCATGCCTGGCTTCTATGCACTTTTCAAATAACACTGCATTGATTATTTTAATACATATTCTTAGTTCCTATTTATAGTTTTCTCAAAGATTCCATTTCAAGCAATTTTTCTGCTTTATGTTGAATACAGAGATCTTTGGATGCATTACAATGCAAGGATGTTTCCTGGGTCTTGCCAAGTAGATATATCATTAAGAATGCCTCCTGTGCTTCTGCTTCACTCTGCTTTTCCACATTCTTCTTTTCCTACTCTGATGCCATAGGATCTGTTGGGATAAGAAACGGTTGAGAATCAGCCTTGATATGCATGTTAATTTTGATCGGAGAACTCTTCTCTGCCAATAGAGTTTTACCCTATTATTGAATAACTCCCCAACAGTTAAAGAAAAGGAGGAAGTGAATTTATATTCTGGTATTCTCTGGTACCTCAATGGTGAATGAAACTCTCAATAGCTCCTGAATGAATGCATAGAAAAAATAAATCCAAGTTAGTCAAGATGTTTGTGAACCAGATTTCTGGCAGAAAGACTAATTTTTTTGGTTTTTGTCTGTTTAAATCAAAGATTGGAGGGAGAAAATTATACAAGGTTATGTGGCCTTTGAAAAGATAACCTCAAGATTTTCAATAGTTGAATTTACTCTTTGATGTAATGAAATGTCAAAAACCTGCATTTATTTAATTGAGGTCTTTTGAAAAAAATATATGATTTAATGGATCTGCTCTATTTTCTTTTTAGGTCAGTCTCGATTCTCGAGTTAGAGAGGTGATCAATAGAAATCTGTTGGATCCTAATCCTCACATGTATGAAGATGCCCAACTTCAGATATATACCTTAATGCACAGAGATTCTTTCCCAAGGTTTTTGAACTCTCAGATCTATAAGTCATTTGTTGAAAGTACTGCCGGCTCTTCTTCTGAATCTTAATTTTCATTTAAAAAAAACATCAATTTTGGAGGGCTGGGATGGGGAATAWAAATAGTTAAATAATACAGAAATTGAGTCCCTGGAGAACTGAAGTATAGCACTCCTCAGGCTACTGTGAACATACCACCATATGGTCTTTGGTCTCCATTTTTTATAAAGGTTATCCATGATGACGTTTGGAGAAAATACCACACAAAACAATGAATTGCCAAATTATGTTTGTTTTATTCAACACCCATCCTACTTGCAAGCAAACTGTATTCATAGTCCTATGAACAGTCTCCTAGTGTATTTCCAGAGACTGCATGTGCAAAGTAAAGCTGCTTCATTTGCCACGTAGTTGTTGTACTATTTAATCAAATAGCATAACTTATATCTGTATTTAAAGACTTTTGTGCAATATAGTCTTATAGAAATAATTGCCAAAACATGGCTGTGGTTTGCATTTTTTTAATATAATCTGAGACAGAAAAAGGCAATTTTTAAAATGTAACAGTGGTATTCAACATGCTATAATACTGTGCTCAGTACACTAATTTTGAAGCCAATATTTCTGTACATGAAAAAAAAAGAGCTATTTATCTATGTTTGTTGGCAAATCGTAGGGGAGGATCCCTCTGATTGTTCACTGCCAAAAATGTGGCATTTTCATTACAGAAGCATTTGCTATGTTAAAAAAAAAGAAGAAGAAAAGTAAACAAAGCACAAAACAATTTGAAGATATCTTCTCTCAGTGACAAATCAAAAAGTGATATTGTTTTTAATTGTAATAGATGAAAATGAATCTATGTATATATAAGATGTCCAATACTGTAATTAATTTATTAAAGACTGGCTCTCCAGTTCTACAATGGCTGTGTAAAGTTATGTACTTCAACAAGAAAAAAAGAAAAGCTTGATAATTAGTTTTGGAATATGTAGAAAAGTACTTAATAAAAGAATGCCTACATGTAGCACTGTAAAACATTTTGATGACTAGCATCTGTCCTGTGGCATATGTTCCTTGAAAGTGAAATCCAGTGAAGAGCTGTTTATACTAGGAAAAGTTTTATAAGGGTTATGAAGAGATAATTCTCTACTTCAGACCTTAACTGTTTTCATGTACTATCATTACGAATGACTTATTTTAAAAATGTCAAAATCAAACTGTTAATTCTCATCCATAATGAAAAGGCAGTACCGTGCTCAAATCTTTTAGCTGCCRTATTATTTTCTATAAATACACTATTTAAGACAAAACTCTTGTCCAACATTGGCATGTGCGTCTGACATTCAAGAAAACAATATCCTATTGTGCACAAAAAGGATAATAATAATAATAATCATCATTGTCATATTTATATTAGCGTGTTACATTTGAATATTAATATCCCCTGGAGACTATTTTTTTAATCTTGAACTGAATGACTATAATACCGAGTAACCTAAAATGAAAGTTTTAAAAAGATTTATATCCACTGAGAACACTGGCCTTATATTAAGGATGATATTAAAATTATAGGTTTTCTTTGTCATTTTTAACTACCTCTCATTTTTTAATTTATTAAACATATTTTTAAAAAACAAGTTTGGGGTTTTCTTTTTAAATTTATTTTACTTGAAAGGTTAGCATTGTAAGTTTCTTTTTCCATAAACTTAAAACATTTCAAGAATTGTTTTTTTAAGTGAATATGATTTTCTAATTTATATAGAATTCAGGAGACATGATTAAAAGGGCTATTATCTATTCCCTATGCAAATATTTTAACTGTTGCAGTGTTTGACAAAATGGGATTTTAAAAAAAAATTTGCAGAGTAGAAAACAAAATGTTCTGTTTACACTGGCGTTGCTGACTATCCTACCATATTCAGCACTTTTAAAGACATTATTTATGAAAATATAGTTAAAATGCAAGATAGAAAATATTTATAATCATTTCTTTTAACAAATGCTTGTTTTCTTTATGAAAGTGTTGTGTGTTAAGACATAGTTTATCCATGTCACTTAGATATTTACTATTTAATAATAGTTTTTGGTAATGTGTTGAAAAAAGAGCTATGAAGATGTTTACAAAAAGTCATATTTTTTCCTAAAGAGTAAAGAAAGACCTAAAAACATCATCACCTCTATTTCGAAGTTCTATTGTTCCTAAGTCATTTACTTTTTTTCTTGATTGGAATTGGGTTTATTATGCTACTATGATGTGTACACATATATGGTATACTATCATACTTGTTTCTGTGTTTGAGGCACAATAAACTGGTGCACATGATTAGAAGATATGTAATATACTATGATACTCGCATGCATTGATCTTTTAATTGTAGACTTTATATTCTTGTTGTTACTATATATGATGGTGACCTGCTAGTTGTAAGTTATCTTTATAAGATACTTTGGACTATTAGATGAATTGTCTGTTTGACAATATGTTTAATATTTTACCAAATGGGAAAGATAAGGGCCCTTATGAAGAGCCCTAATGTCTAACCTGGGTGTCTGTAAAATACAGATTTTTGAACTTGGTATGTCTTTTTGAAACCTGATAATGAGGTTGGGTTGACAAGGACTCTAGAGCAGATTTATGCATCAGATGTTGGTAACCATGCTTCGTGAGCATTCCTGTGCTAAACTTCTATTTTCACTGGATGGGACGGTTTCTCATTTAATTTCAAAATGTTTGAAGTATCTAAGAATATGTCTGTGTATTTGCAACTCTATCAATTTTTTAAGTATGATATAATTCCTTTTGTTTAAGTTACAGAGCTATAATAAACAAAAAAGCCCTCAACTGGTGTCTATGCTACCATTCCAAGAGCACAATATTTGCTTTATTAGAGTTTGATTTTTCCTAGTGAGTGAATTCCTCCCTGGGGAAAAATGAGCACTTTAAAAGGAGCACTTTGTGTTTTAGATTGCCAAATGATCTTTGTGTACAGTTAGAATCTGCTAATGCGCACAGAAAGATGTTAATGCACTTTCTGAATTGCCTAACTTCAGGTGTATCTAGAATGGAAAGAAAAGTACGTGATATAGATTATGTATATATAGATAAATTGGAGACCCAGATTTCTTCAGAGATTGCTCTTGTACATAGATCATAGTAATAATGGATGGATGATACTTCCTTATTCTAATTGTTATGTTACTCAGAGTTAGCATAGATGTTCTGACAGTGTTATAGGGCACATGTGAATAAGAGCAAAACAGTTTTGATACTGAAATTAAGAAACGCAAATGCCAAGACCAGAACATAGTCCTTTAAAAAAAAAATCTTAAAATATGTACATAGGGTGACCAGTTCTGGTAGTTGGTCATGATGCATGGGGTGTTTATAAATAAGTATCCTTTAATGAACCTAGTATAAAGTATGTATTATATACTTACATGATAGCTCAGTGTTGTAAAAGGACTACAGAAATAGGTAAATAATATTTATTTTGGAGGAATAAATATACATTTTCACTCAATTAAACTTATTTAAAATCATACCGGATTCTTAATTTTGAGTTTATTCATTTTTTCTATACATTTTAACTTTAAATACTAAAAGTATCATAATTTTAGCCATTTAAATTTCAATAAATACATATTATCTATACTCCAATAATTCAAATGTATGAATTGCCAAGATCATTGTAATGTCATGTGTAGCTAATAAAAAAATACATATTATCAAAGGCTTTAGTGAAGAAATCTAAAGGGAAGGAATGTCAAAGACAATCAGAAGATAGGGAATTAAGAGCCTTTTGGAAAACCATCAAAATTTCTTAAAGACTTTAAAAATGTCTATGTATACAGCCATATCAAACATGTATTTTGAACCCTTTGAGCTTGATACATTAGTAAATTATTTTGAAATATAGAAAAGATATTTCCAGAAAACTTTCTTGCCCATCTATTTTACATTGACAGTTTATGACCCTAACCTTCAAAGTATATTTTATCAACACTTAGAGTGTTTTTTTCAGTTTATAAATTTCTGATCAATATATAATGCCCTCCCGAGAAAACAATATATAATCTGTAAAAATTTTAGTAACTTCTCACCTGGTACAATTGCAAACTGATAACTGAAAACTTGCTTCAGCTCTTCTCTGAAACACTGAACAATATCCTTGCATCACATAACAGTGTACAGGGTGATAAGTATTATTTCCAAATATCAGACTTTTCAGTCTTTATAAGAATTTTTTTAAATTATTGTTCTTACAGCTGTAGTCCTATAGTTCCCAGTGACATCTCTGCAGATTCATTCAAGGAGATGCTCTAGACTTTGACTTATGAAACCAGTGTGGAAGACAAAGTGCTACCTAACTGGTAACATATCTCAGTGTGCGACTAATCTGATTACTATGACTAAAGCTCTATGTAAGGAAAAAGGATGTTATTAAGTGCTAAAGAAAATAACCAAATATAGAATTTTTAATACATATGCAAACTCAAAATTTATCATATATTTCTCTTTTCTGTTGGCAGAAATTTAAGAATTTTAAAGCTGCTGATTTATACCTATGAGTTGTCATAACATTCTAGCTTTTAAATAGTTATGCTGTGTTTCTGTCCTAGGTTTGAATACATTTCCTTCTCATAAAGCTCTAACCCTTACTGCTGTATTCAGATGATGTGATACACAATGCTTACAAATGGAAATGTATGTCCACAGATTCACATTTAGAATACAGTGTGAAAGATCAAGAACTTAGAATAACAAATTTGATTTCAAGTTAGATTTCTTTTTGGAGGGGAGGGGTACCAGAAATTGAACCCAGGGGGCTTACCCACTGAGCCATAGCTCCAGCCCTTTTCATTTTTTATTTTGAGACAGGGTCTCACTAAGTTGCTGAGGCTGGCTTTGAACTTGGAATCCTCCTGCCTCAGCCTCCTGAGTTGCTGGGATTACAGGCTTGTGCCACCAAGCCTGGCTCAAATTACATTTCTGACTTCTGTGATGGTGAGCAAATCATTTTTTCTGTCTGAATCTGTTTTCTCATCTGCAAATGAAGAATATTAGTTTACAGGTTGGCAATGATTAAATTAAATTAAATTAAATTAAAAGAATAGTGTTACATGTAACATTTTATCAAAGTTTTTCAGCTCAATAGTAATTGATACTTTTCACGAATATCTGTGGGTTTTTGTTTGTTTGTTTAAAACTAAAACAGTGTTACCTTGAATATTTGCAAAACATACTTTGGAAATCTAACTAATTAATTATCCAGAAAAATATAACCAAGCTTATTTTAAGATGGAAGATTATAACAATACTATTGTTTTGTTCAATAATATGATTCAAAACCACTATTTTAATTTCAATAATTTCTCACCTTATTTATAATCTAGAAAACTTTCTTCAGTCACACATATACACAGATATGTGTGTGTGTGYRYRTGTGTRTATATATATATATATATATACACATACATATACATATATACACACAATGTTATATATATGTGTATATATAATACACATACAATATATGTTTATATATATACACACATACACAAACATAATGGAAGTAAAAGCTATGTTCTAAATGATAATATAAATATCAAGTCATTTGCCAAATATGTAAATGGATGATAGAGCTAATGCTAAGTTAATAAGAGACTGATCATAACAGACTTTTTAATATTAGAGTAGTATGGTTTTCTTTAACAATTTTACCATGAACATGTGAAAAGTAAGAGTAGTTATGTCTTCAGAAAACTTTTCATTAAATCTTTTTTGAAATAGTTTTATATTTACATTTCTGTAAATTTTCAGTTGCACAGATAGTAAAAAGAAAAACTGTCCTCAAATACTTCACACCCATGGGGGTCATTAATCAACTAATATTAATTAAGTCTATGTTTAGATTTCTTGTTTTTTGTTTGTTTGTTTGTTTTTTATCTAAGGGCCTTTTTCTGTTCCTGGGTCTCATTCACCATACCCTATTCCATTTAGTTGCCATGTCACCTCCGGCTCCTCTGAGCTGAGTCTGTATACCTTTCCATGTTTTCAAGGACCTTGACAGTTTTGAAGAGTATTGGTCAGGCATTTTGTAGACCCTCCCTCTGTTGTGATTTGTCTGATGCATTTCCAGTTTTGGTTTGGGGAAGGAATACCAGAGGAAACATGCCATTCTTGTCACACGATATCAAAGGTRCATGCCATGGTCATGACTCCTCTTGCTGTGAGAATTTCTCAAACTTTGGGATCCTCTTAGCTGTTAATGTTGACCTTGATCAACTGAATGAGGGACTGCCTGTTAGGCTTCTCCACTATAAAGTAATCAATTTTTATAAGGTTACACTAGAGGAAAATTTAATGGACATTTACACTGAGTTTTAAAAAATTCTGAGTAGATTTTCAATACTAATACTAGGTTCATTAAAGGATTAATGACAAATGCTATGAATACAATGAGCTGGAAAATCAAATGGGAGAATAAAACTAAAACAGTGTTACRTTGAATATTTGCTTAATAGAGGTGAAAGTAAATTTTTTTCCTTGAACTACCTGTGCAATTATTTTAAGCCTCCACACACTTTGGATAATAAAGATCTTAATCTTATTAATTGTAATAAGAGGTAATTTAAATTGGTAATCATTTTGCTTAGTGCTTTTATATATGCCCTCCACTGAACAATGTACACAATATTGAAATAATGTAAAAGACTTGATATTTTCACCCCAGCTTTAACTATTTGTCATAAATACAATGTTTCTTGTATATGATTTTAAGATGTTTTACTAATACTAAAAATATTAATGTGTTTGATTCTATATACTTTATCATATTGAATGTGTATAATTTCATACTACCATGTTCATTATATTTAGTAATCTATATCCATATTTTGGACTCCACCAACATTTATTAGTGGACAACAAAGAAGTTTTAAGTGCATGAATACATCTTAAGAGGCACCACACTTGGTTATTTTGCAATGCCAAAATAACTGTAGTTACTCATCAATTGCATAGATAATCAAGATTATTTTTCCTCCAGTTTAAATTATTCTGGATTTTTATTCCCCTTTCCTTGACTCTACTTCATGATTTTACCTATGTACAACAGTAGACTTCCCAAAATGCTACATTTTTACCATGTAATAGAATTTGAGCATGTCAACAGTGTAAGAAAATCCAGAAGTCTCATACTAAGTATGTTTGAATTTTCAAAGTAAATCAAACAACAGCTGTTTTCATTTAACTATGTTGTGGAAACCTATGGACACCATTGTAAAATGCGTATGCATTAGACTTTCTTCACTTTCTTAAAATGTTTTTGAATTAATAAAGAATTCACCAATGTATCCTTAGACAAGTTATTGTTTCCTCCTTGGTATAACCCTACAGGAATAAAGGGTACACTTACATGTGTTGCTTAAGTTGCTTACACATCTGAGGAAAAATAAATTCTGGCTGGATTCATTACATTGTTCTATAAGATGATTGCTTATTAGAATTTTGCACCTGTTATAATGAAATATATTCTTGAAATAACATGTTTTGAGAATTCAGCTGAGAGATTTATCATGTTGAGTTCAAATTACTCCAGCCATTTATTTCTGTAGTAAAAGAAAAAAAAAATCAAAGTTGAGTTTAGAGTTAGGAAATAACTGCTCCTAATGGGTATAAACAAACCTACTGTCCCATTCTATTCTTGGATCAACATTAAAATAAAATAGATTTCAAACACTATCTTACAGCAAGACAATTTTGTAAAGTAGTGGACCTTGAACATACAAAGTGAAAGAATTGTAATAATTGGAGCTTTTAAGTATCAAAACTATTTCCATTATGTCAAGGATCATTTCATTCTTTCATTTCACTTCCTTTTTTATGTAGTGCTAAGAGAGAGAAGCAATGCAAAAATGCATATTCTTTTTTTTCCCCAATACTGAGGATGAGCCCAGTCGCTGAGCACACTAGCCAAGAGCTCTACCAGTGAGCTACATCCCCAGCCCCCAAATTAATTTTTTGAAAGAATATTATACTTAACAGTTTTGGTTAGATGACTGAAGGATATTTTAACTTTGTTAAACGCTCCTATGAGTTACCATTTCTTTTTCTTTCTTTTTTAATGTTTTCATTTTTTTTTTTTTTTTTAGAAAAATGAAAAGCTATTTCAAATAAGTTATCTCAAAAACAAAAACACACCATCCGGACACTGGTTAGCACAGATTGCAGGGAATCCCAGATTGAACATTTAACATTTAACCTTTGCATTCCCAGGACTGTCTTGGTTGTATTTATTTCTCCGGTGGCCTGTGAATAAGTGTTTTAAAAACTGCCAGTAAACTTCCGTATTCTTGGCACCTATCTGTAAATTTTTTGGAAGTGATAAGCATCGGGCTGCCAGAGGCAGTTCTTCCTGTGCGCAGTGCTGGGGATGCCACCTGGGGAGAGGCCAGTGAGTGCTCTTCTGCGGAGCAGCACACCCGACCCGGGAGACCGTCGCTCAGGGCTGTTGTGTGGTCTTCACACAGAATTCACACAACTGCGTTAAAAGAAAAACAGGGCTCAGTGAGGACAGACAGGCAACCGAGAGAAGTCACTTGAAACCAAGTAAATTACGTAGCAGACACAAGACTAGACAGCACGTTTTGTGAACTCACTTGGTTCTTGTCTCAGAAGAGCAATTTATTCCCACCCACCCCGCGAGGAGGCCTTTCCGACCCAGGGATAGAACCAGGTGCCGGCCCTCGCAGGCAGCCCTGTCCCGGTCGCCCTCCGCCACGCCCATCACTGTCGGAGACGCCCCTCCTGCTCTCCCACCCGCCCCTCAGGACAGCCTCGCCCCTCTCTACGCCCCGCCTCTCCCCGCCAGCTCGCCCCCACAGCTCTCTGACCCGCCCTCAGGACAGCCCCGCTCCTCCCCGCGAGCTCCGCCCCCGCCACGCCCCCTGAAATTTGGCCCTCAAGAACTACGCAGCGTTCCCGTGCTGGCCCGGAAGTTCTCGCCAACGCTTCCGAGAGGTCTTTTAAAACCCGCGCGTGCGCCCGACGGGGGTGTGGCTAGCTGTCGCCCCTATTTCCAAGTTCTGTGCAGCGTCGCGAGACCTACTCTGTCCCGAACTTCCGGTTCTGATGGGCCTAGCTCTTTGGGCCGGCCATGCGGGGCGGGCTTCTCTGGGGCGCTGCCCGTGTTCTGTGGGCTGGCCGAGCTGTTGGCGCAGCCCGCCGGCCCCTAAGCTGCAGTAGCCCGCCGCTGGAGGAGCTGTTCGCCCGCGGCGGGCCTTTACGGACCTTCCTCGAGCGCCAGGCAGGGTCAGAAGCCCAGTTACTWGTCAAGGGGCCAGAGTTGGTAGCGGTCACCAAACTCCTGAGCGAGAAGGAGCGGGAGCTGCGGGAGACCGAGCACTTGCTGCACGGTAAGGGCCGAGCCAGGGGAGCGGCGTCTGAGCGGGTTGTTTTTCCTCCTTTGCCCTTTCCATTAAGCCACTGGCCAGGTGTCCACACTACTGAGTTTGAAGCTCTTAACTAATTTGCAGCCTCTTTTTGTTTGTTTTGCATGACAGGTCAAGACATACTTAAACGTGTTCTTTTCTCATTCTTCCTTTTTGGCGCTCTTGTGCTCCCTTGCCACAGTGCTCCGCCCCACTTTATTTATTTCTTTGTTGCCTATCCTTTGGCAGGAGCAAGGACAAACAAGGCACTCTACCCAGTGACGAGCTCCAGACCAGTGTAAAGAGGTGCGACTTAGGATTCGATCTTAAATCTAGGAATGTGCATTTTCTACAGTTTCTCAAGTGACTTTCATGCATTCGAATCTGGAATGGGCTGAACTTTCTGCGCTGCTTCCAGCTCCCAGGGATGCCAAAGTGCTGGTCCATGGGCCACACTTTGGGTGGCAAGGTTCCAGAGAGKGCTGCAGTTTATTGAGGGACACAGAATTAATTATACAGTTGATAAATGAGAACAGATATATAGAGATGAAAAAAGACCCAAGTAAAGAATTTGTTGGTGTTTTAGAGGTGTAAGAGCCTAACCATTATTAATAGTTTATTGATCCCTTATCATGCTTGAAGTTTTACTAAGCTTTCTTTATGGGTTAATTCATCCAGTTCACACAAGCTATGAGGTAGGTACTATGAACCCCATGTGACAGAAGAGGAACCTGAGTCATAAAGGTAAAAAGCAGCACAGATTATATATGGAGCCTCCACTCCAAATCTCACTCTTTTAACCACTGTTCTCTTAATCTAGGAAGAGAGATAAGGGGAATGGCAGTTTGGAACCCTTTTGTAAGGAAAATCAAATATTAATCTAAGATAAGAGGTTGATTTATCCTGTTGGCAGAAGGGAGCCAACAGAAGTTTTTTTATTAGGATGCAAATGATAGAGTTGTAGGAAACCTGATGTGTGGCAATTTAAAAGTCACTCTGGAATGGGATTGAAGATGCCATGAAAAGGGGGGCTAATGGAGTAGTGTGAGAGTTAAGAAGAGTCTAAGTGACTTAAGAGAAAAACAACATGTGATTTTTTAAAAAGAATTAATAAATGGTATTGAGAAAAAATATCTTGGGGAAAAATTAGATTCATAACTTAAGCCAATCTTAAAATCCAAGTGGATTTTAGGAGTATTTTAAAAATCAAACTTAGAGATGTTAACAGACTGTTAGAAATTGTTGCTAAAAGAAATTGTCATTCAGGAAGTCTTGAGATATTATTATGTGGCAGACACTACTAATTACCAAAAAATTATGGAACAACCTTTTAGGAGCTTACAGCTTAATGAGGAAGAGAGATGTTTAAGAAGATAAGTAAAAACAAGTGGGTGAATGTTTTAATTTCTATATTAAAGAGCAGAGTATAATAAAAGGAAAAGTTGGCTTTTAAATGGATCTTGAAGGATAAGCAAGGAGTTGTAAGGTGGATCAAGAGAACAGAATTAAAGGCAAAAGTGATCAGTAAGAATAAAGATACTAAATTGGGAAATAGAATAGGTGTTGTGATAGTATAAGAAAAACCTGAAGCCAGAAAGACAATTAAGAACCTTGCTTGACAAAAAATTCAGATTTTTTTTTTAGACTATAAAAAGTTAGTATATGAGAAGTGACATCTTTCTAAAGAAAAGTTATTGTTGGCACCATTGTTGAGGATGAATTGGAATATTCTCCAGAAATTAGAGTGTTAACAGAAGAGAAATGATAAATTTGGCATTGTATCTCCAGCAGTTTGGATGGGAAAAGAGGAGATGACAATAAGCAATTACTTTAATGGTTGGAGCAAGATACCCCTCTAGAATGGGGAAACTATAGGTGGTGTCCTGTAAATATTTTAATGTATGATATTGAAAGACAAAACAATTAGTATATTACCATTCCCTATGAATAATTCCTCAGTCTAAACCCTCTAGAACTTCTCTGTCCAGTGTAGTAGTCAGAAGCCACAAGTGGCTATTGAGTGTGTAATGTGACTAATTTGAATTGAGATATGCTGTAAGTACAGAATCTCAGTAATTTTGGAAGCTGAGGCAGTAGAATCATAAATTCATAGTCAGCCTCAGCAACTAAGTGAAGCCCTAAGCAACCAGACCCTGCCTCAAAATAAAAAATAAAAAGGGTTGGGGATAGGCTTGGTGGTAAGCCATATCCTGGGTTCAATCCTCACTAAAGAAAAAATTTTTCACATTTTTATACTAGTAACACATTGAAATTATAATATCTTGAATATACTGGTTTAAATAAGATGTAGTCTTAAAATTAAACTACTTCTAGACTCTAGCTCCTATCTCCTTAGCCTTGCAGAACCGAACATTTCAGAACTGGAAAGGCCTCATAGAGTCATGCAGTTCAGAACTTTCATTTTACTGACGTCACCCAAGACTAAGAGCAACTTAGGGGTTGAGTTTTAGCTATAATTCATTTTTCTTTTCCTTAACTGCACATGTTATCCATTTCACCTAGTTTCTTCCATACCATATCCTGTCCAGTACAATTTTCTTCTTTTCCACCAGTGCGTCCCGTACTTATCTCCATTTTGCTGATGTCATAAGCTCTCCTTCAGCTAATTCTTTCCTTTTGCACAACTAAAAAATAAACTATGACTGGCGATATAGCTCAGTTGGTAGAGTGCTTTCCTTGCTTGCACAAGGCCCTGGGTTCAATCTCCAGTGCCACAAAAACTGACTGAAAAATAACTCTTTAAAGGTACTGCTATTTAAATATTTAATCACATAGTGCTTTCAGTTATTATTATGGATTATTTTTTTCTCCTCTAGAAAAGTATAAAGAGAAAAAATGATCTATAATCCTGCCTTAAGGGTACATCTTATATTCCTACTATCACCAGAACCCCAGAAAGGTTGGTTCTTAACAGATAAGCACACAGATACTCTGTAAACAAAGTTTGATCTTTCACAGAAAGAACAATTGGTAATAGCTAAAAAAGGGTCCCATTTTCTCCTTTTGTAGGCTGTCTATTATCTATAGAATAAGTGAGGGAGTATATTATGTACGTCAAAAATAAAAATTCAAAGATGAAACAAGTGTAAATCCAGAGAGACAGGACCATTTCACATAAAGGTTAAGTAGGGTACTTAATTATACTAAGGAAATATTTACTAAGACAATAACTTTCTACTTTTTGATTCAATTTTGGTTTAAGTTCCCCCTCTGGTTTTTTGATCTTGCTAGATGTATTCATTTGTTATTGTTTAGCCTTAGTTGAAAAACTAAAGGTTTGTTTTTTAATAGTTAGATTCATTTATACTTAACCATCAGGGGAAAAAAAGTTTCTCTTCTCACAGCTACTTGCTTACGAAAACTAATGTAGAAATGCTGCTTTTAATGTAATTATTAAAATGACAAGATAGACATTTTATTTTTCCCTTCAGCTATACTAGCAATAAACCTGTTACCCCGGAGACTTGTTAGCAGTTTAATAGTAAGTTAAGAAAAACTCAATTGCTGCCTCTTTTTTTCCTTAGATGAAAATGAAGATTTAAGGAAACTTGCAGAGAATGAAATAATTTTGTGTCAAAAAGAAATAACTCAGTTGAAACATCAGGTACAGTATTGGTATAAAGAACAAATCATGTCATTACTTCCTATGTATTTTATTAGAGGTTTATAATAAAATCAACAAGTAAGTAACTAGACTTTTACTATTCAGAATAAGCTTTTTAACTTAAGTTTTTTCCAGTCTTATTGAGGAGTAATTGACGAAAATTTTATCTACTGAAGGTACTCAATGCATACATTATGAAATGGTTACCACTATCAACAAACTGGTCTTTAAAGTGGAAAAAATATACTTAGTGTGGTCCTATTTTTATACCAAAAGGATTGTAGAGCTCTCACAAAAACACAAATGTCTCATTAATAGCACTTTCTGGAAAAGCAATAAAATATCTCCCCTCTTGCTATTTTAAGGGATCAGAATGGACAGTGGGTAGAAGAGGTTATAAAGAGATGACAGACTGTGGGCACCTCAGGGGCAAGAATGTGTCTTTATTTTGTGTCTCTAGTACTATTAGAGTGCTAGTCCTAGAATTCCAAAATGACAAGTTTTCTCTATTAAGTTTAAAAAACACAGATGTGATTTGAGTCCCCCCCCCCCTTTGAGGCTTTAATTTTCAAAAGACCAGTGCTAGGATCTTCTTTTGCATATGTACTGCTCACAAGGCGTTACCTACTTTTTAATAATTGAACAGGGAAGTGTTATAAACCATATAAGATCTCCAAGGAAAAATAAAATCAAGCCAGTAAGTTTAAGATGAATTTTAAAACATTTATTATATTAATAACATTGGTACTCCATGGAAGTACCAATTTAATTATATGGTTTTAATTGGCAAAATGGTTGAATAGTACTCAGCAATGTTAAATTATTTGCTTAGAGAAATTTTAGGTTAAATATCTTAAAATCCTCTATCTGATCATGTAGCTTTTTTTCTTGTTATTAAGTTTCAAATAATTCTTAATTATAGGAGGGGTAATATTTTATGTTTACAGATTATCTGTCTTTTGGTTCCCTCAGAAGAAACTGATGAAAGTGATTTGATCCTGGAGGTAACTGCAGGAGTTGGGGGTCAGGAGGCCATGTTGTTTACTTCTGAGATGTTTGATATGTATCAGCAATACGCTGCATTTAAAAGATGGAATTTTGAAACCCTGGAATACTTTCCAAGTGAAATAGGTAAGTAAATTGTTCAATTTATTTTGGCACAGTATAGTAGTATTTTACTTATCTACATGGGACCTAGAAAAAGGGTTGGCAAGACCATGACTGGGCTTCAGAACTTACTTGTAAGTAAGTCTTAAGCTGTTTTATGCTCATCATTTAGCTAATAATTTTGATTACAAGCATAGCAATTTTGAACAGCTTATACAGTCTAATGGATATTCATTCAGTACTTAATAATGCTGAATGATTAATGGTCTCTAAAAATGGACTTTACATGTTTCATTGATGTCAGTTAGGTAGCACTGTAAATGCTTTGTTTAATCATCATAAGCAATAAAGATTAAATGTCAAAGCAGGCTTATCAAAATGAGTATATTTGCAATCTCTGTTTATGTTTTGTGATTCTTTTAAATATATTTCAGGATAGTAGATATAATAGTTACTTATAAATGTCAGGAATAATAAAAAGAACCTATCTTCCCTATATTTTCAAGGTGGCCTTAGACATGCATCTGCCAGCATTGGCGGTTCAGAAGCCTATAAACACATGAAATTTGAAGGGGGAGTGCATAGAGTACAGCGAGTACCAAAGACAGAGAAGCAAGGACGCATCCATACTAGCACCATGACAGTGGCAATATTACCCCAGCCCACTGAGGTAAGGTTAGTAATCCCCCCTTTTCTAGTGCCCCTTGTCCTCCACTCCCCAGTAACACTCAAAAATTTTACTGAATTGAGTATTTCTTTCTCTTAGTATTTGGCCTTCCTCACATATTTTGAGTTAATTCTAAGAATGAATTATCTTAGTTCAAAATGTAGTTTTACAAAAGATGGTAAAAACTAAATGTTTATAAATGATCCAGTCTTGCTTTATCAAGTTACTTTTCTCCACCACTAAAATAGACATTGTGAGACCATCTCTCTAGGTAAAATAATACTAACTTACTTAAATATGGTTGGGTAGCCTTAATAATGACTTTGCTTTTTGTGACTGGATCCCCAGATATTATTAGAACAAGGATAATTAGTTAATACTTCATAGCCCAATCACATTAACATTGTTATGATGGTTCCTAAAGAGTATTATTTATTCTTAAAAAAGTAATTCTCAATCTAGTTTTGTATTTTTTTTTAATTTCTCTTCTCCCAAAAAGTGATAGGTTTTTAGCATTTTTCAAAATGAAATACATGGTTTGAGAAAGAAATTTAATGGAGGGTTTCTGTTATTAATTTTGAGAGAAAAAGTGCTGTTTGACTCTATGTAATAGGGTTAATAGTTTCTTTAGTTCTGATGTTTGTGTGAAGCATAGATGAGGAACAGTTAAGGGAGAAAGTAAAGTAGAATAAGTAGCAGGAGTCACACCTAGGTACTAGTCACTTCTGGTTTAACGTTTTGGAGATGGTAGGCACTGTCAGGAAATGATGGGATACTGAGGTCCCTATTACCATCTGACGCTTCTAGCAACTCTAAGAATTGTGTAGGGAGACATGGAGGGCTTAGGGAATGGTAATATTCTTATTGCCAAGATTGTGGACATGTCATAATGCAGTTCATAGCTTATGGAAACTTTTAAACATAGCGCTTTTTATAGTGACACCTAAGACAAAGTGTTATCCTGATGTCAGATCACAGTGTATCCACTGAGTCTAGACTCTTGGCATCTTGGCTTTTGCTGTTTCTACTTGTCTTACCTTTGCCTTTAGATGTGTTTGAAACAAACCCTGCACTCAAGCTACCAATTTTTCCCCCTGTGCTAGTCTTTTTGAACTCAGAAATAGTCTACAAATCTCATTTTAGCTTAACACATTTCTAATAATAGCTGTTTTGTTGTTCATTTGGTAAAAAGGGAGTATTTGCAGAGAAGCTAAGTCTAGTTTTTGAGGATTAGAAAGGGTTTGTTTTTGTTCTGTATTATACTTAGATTCTCTACTCTTATTTTTTTTTAAAAAAAGGAAAAAAGGTCTAAAAATAGCATCATTCCAACTATTGTCTATTCTTAAAATTTTAAAGTCTCAACATGAATAATATACATGACATGTATTTATTAAACAGTTCATCCTTATCTACATAGTTGATAAATGTAAGTTTTTAAAATCTTTTTAAACTTCTCTTTCTATGTATAGATTAATCTGGTGATTAATCCTAAAGATTTGAGAATCGATACTAAGCGAGCTAGTGGAGCTGGGGGTCAGCACGTAAATACCACGGACAGTGCTGTCAGGATTGTTCATCTTCCAACAGGTATGTACTTATTTTTTTAACATAAAACTAAAGAGTCACTTTCTGAAGGACTTGACTMATTTTCCACTGCAACAGACCTTTTAGTCACCCAAGGACTATATATTAAAGACAGTTATCGATTACTTGATTTAGAATCTGCACACGATACTCTGCAGGATAATCTCAAAGCCAGGAAAAGAGGGAGTTCTGAACCCAGGGAATTTCCATATTAATGACTATGAAGAGAAAGTACAATCTTTCTAAATGGCCTTCTGAAAATTATATTTAATATTCTTAGCTGTTTAAGAAAAATGATCACAGTGAAGTAATTGTCACTGGTTATATATTTGAAAATGCTCTAAATCACTAGTTCTTGTCTCTTTTGGGGAGAGGGTAACATGGACTCCTTTGAGAAAATGAAGCACTTGATGTCCTACCCAGAAACATACCTATATACATGCAAAGTTTTGCATATAATTTCAGGGTCATCTTCCCATTGAGTTCATTCACACACCTATTAGGCAAAGGGACTGAATCTAAATCTTTAAGTCTCTACTATACACCAGGTAGAACTAAGTGTGCTTTACCAGCCTTAATATAGTGATTTACATGTTATAAAGAGTATTTGGAATTAGCAAACTTCTGCTATCTAGAAAGAATATAAGAACCTCTGTAACTGATCTCAAATAGGCTTATGTCCCATTAACAAGAAGTGATTGATGGGAGTGCTAGATTGATGTTTTTATTCTTTTAAATATGGGAATATCCTCATGTTAAACTTCAAGGTCAAATTTTATGTAATATAGAATATAATAACAGTAATGAGAATAAAGAAAATCCTCAAAAAACATTAATAGTTTTAACTTTTAACTTTTTTCTATAATTGTTATTCAAAAACTTATTGTAGTTAGCTGAGACTAGGAAAATAATCGAATGGTTTGTGTTTATTGTTTAATTATATATGTCTTCAGTATGCAAATGCATTTTGCTATAGTTCAGACTTAAATTTCACTTTTGATAAACTTTAAAAAGCTATTTAATTTTAAAGTCTCCTTTTTATATGAGGGTCCTGTTTTTCTCCCCTGAAAAGATAGAAAAAGAATGAGAAGGAAAAGGAGTATTCCTTCATATTAAGTAAAGAAGATTTTTCTATTAAAACTAATTCTCATAAAACTATTCAGGTGTTGTTTCTGAATGCCAACAAGAGAGGTCTCAACTGAAAAATAGAGAGATGGCTATGAAAAAGTTGCGTGCAAAGCTGTACAATATGCATCTAGAGGAAGAAACAAGTAAAAGATACAGTGCTAGGAAGATCCAGGTAAAATTGAATTTAAAAAAAAAAAATGTTTCCACAGGATAGAAAATGTTCTTAAATAACTGAGTTTTTTATGTCCAAACTCTTTTCATGTATTGTCAAAGGCAGAAAACAACTCAAGTAGGTTGACTGAGGTATATACCTGTATTATAGTAATTTTGCTCCCCTGCCTTCTATATTCAAAGGCATTCTCAGATTTTGTCAGTTACTGAAAAAAAGATATTGAGTCCCATTCCCTTAATTTTTAACCCTTTGAAAGCCAAGTATGGTGGCATACACCTTTAATCCCCTGGGGAGGCTGAGGTAGGAGAATCACAAGTTCAAGGCCAGTCTCAGCAATTTAGCAAGGCCCTGAGCAACTTAGTGGAACCATGTCTCAAAATAAAAGATTAAAGGGGCTGAAGATTTGGCCAGTGGTAAAGGAACCCTGTGTTCAATCCCTCGTACCAAGGAAAACAAATTTTTATAACTCTTGCAAACTGAACTGAACTTTTTTCCTATTTAATATTTGATTTTGTAACTTACACAGTCCTTTAAGACCTCCTCAGTACGGGGCAGTCATCATCTTATCAACACTCAAGATGGCTACATTAATTCACAGAGATTATGTATACAATATCACTATGCAGTAGATACCATTTGTCTTATTTTTATGTGGTAAATTTAATCTATTTCCTGAACTCATAGAGCATTGAAGTGGCGGAGACAGAATTCAAGTATTAATCTTTATGATTTTAAAGCCCACATTCTTTTTTTACCACATCCCATGTCATTTAGAGATTTAACACGTTAAAACTTGAAGATGTCTTGTTTTGTGATTCAATTGTAAATCAAGAATTTAGTGAGAGTAAGTTAAGTTTGTAGGTCCAAGTTTTCCTGATCTAATTGTATCTCATATCTTTCTTTATACATGTATAGGTTGGAACTAAAGGAAGATCAGAGAAAATAAGAACATACAATTTTCCACAGAACCGGGTCACAGATCACAGAATAAACAAATCACTGCATGGTCTTGAGACTTTTATGCAAGGAGATTATCTACTGGATGAACTTATACAGTCCCTGAAGG